TCATTGATTATCACTCATGGTGATGGAGCTGCTTCGTGGACTTGGTTTTGCAGCATCTCTGCCCCCTCGAAATATTCCAAAATATTCAAATATTCCAAATATTCAAATATTCAGAATAGTGAAATATTCAAAATACTCAGTTATTCAAAATACTCAACTATTTTAAATACTCAGATATCCAAAATTCTCAAATATTCAAAATATTTAAATATTCAGATACAAGAGGGCAGTCTACAGGTGAGGCCGGAGAATTTGGGTTCATTAACACGTTCTAATTAATTAACGGGTTCGTTGTCACAAGGCCGGGTTATTGCAGCGTTAATTAATGCATYGGTTGCTGTATCAATTCGCCGATGCGTTCGATGTTATTAATTGTGAATTATTAATCTGCTGCTTTCCTAATGGATTAATTAATTCAGGGGAAGGGGGGATTAGCAATTAGCTCCTTTTTAGCAATAATAACTATTGATTATAACTCATGGTGATGGAGCTGCTTCGTGGACTTGGTTTTGCAGCAACTCTGCTCCCTCGAAATATTCCAAAATATTCAAATATTCAAAATACTAAAATATTTCAAGTATTCAGATATTCAAAATACTCAAATATCCAAAATCCTCTAATATTCAAAACATTTAAATATTCAAATATTCAAAATACTCAAGTGTTCAAAATATTTGAATATTCAAAATAGCCAAAATACTCAAATATTAAAACAATCAAATATTCGAAATACGTATTTGAAATACTCAAATCTTCAAAACACTCAAGTATCCAAAATCCTCAAATATTCAAAATATTTAAATATTCCAAATACTCAAATATTCAAAATACTCTACTACTCAAAAAATTCAAATATTCGAATACTCACATACTCGAAATACTCAAATATTCAAAATACTCAAATATTCGAAATATTCACCCTTAAAAAAACCCAGATAAACTTTTTTGGGGTGATTTGGGGTAAACAAGGAGTGAAGTCGTGCATTAACCTGAAATGTGCAGTTCTTGCATCAGTACANCCATCCCAGATGACAGCCACAGCCCAGCAGCCCTCCAAAGCCCAGCCCGTCCATCTGACCACGCCGGCGRCGGGCACCAACACCCCGGTGCCGGCGGCGGGCGGCGACCCCCAGGCACAACTGGAGGCTGACAAGAGGGCAGTCTACAGGTGAGGCTGGAGAATTTGGTTCATTAACACGTTCTAATTAATTAACGGCTTCGTTGTCACAAGGCCGGGTTATTGCAGCGTTAATTAATGCATCGGTTGCTGTATCAATGCGCTGATGCGTTCGATGTTATTAATTGTGAATTATTAATCTGCTGCTTTCCTGATGGATTAATTAACTCAGGGGAAGGGGGGATTAGCAATTAGCTCCTTTTTAGCAATAATAACCATTGATTATCACTCATGGTGATGGAGCTGCTTCGTGGACTTGGTTTTGCAGCATCTCTGCCCCCTCGAAATATTCCAAAATATTCAAATATTCGAAATACTCAAATATTCAAAATACTCAAATATTCGAAATATTCACCCTTAAAAAAACCCAGATAAACTTTTTGGGGTGATTTGGGGGTAAACAAGGAGTGAAGTCGTGCATTAACCTGAAATGTGCAGTTCCTGCATCTGTGCAGGATGTGGGCAGTGATGGGCAAGGGCTGGGAGGCCCCTCCTCTCCCCCTTTTTTGTCACTTTGGGGACAATTATATCTGAAATTATAATAYATGCACTCATGTTATTGTATAACTGCTGTAAGCAACATTCTAATTATGTAAATAGTGTAATTATATAAGTAATACATAATTATACAAGAGATATGTGATTATTTACAATATTAGAATGTATAGCAATGATGGAGCATCAACAATATTCTAATATAATTAGGAATTATAAAATTAAAATATGATTGGAATATAATTGTAGTTGAAGATTAAGGATTAACCTATCAATGACCAGGGCTGTGGGGGTTTGTGAATTAAAAAAAAAAAAATTGCAGCTTGGACTTGAAGGAATTAAAATATTTGTACTTTGAGAATTCAAATATTGCAAGGCTGAAACATCTGAAAATCTGGAACAAATTCACTCTTTCCCAGGAAAACACAAAGRATTGTTTGCTGCAGGTCTCCCAAA